CCTTCTTTTCCAGTCTGAATGCCTTTTATTTATTTTCTTGCCTTATTGAACTGGCTGAAACCACAGGTAAAATGTTGAATAGAAGTAGTGATACTGGAGATTCTTGTTTTGTTTCTAATCTCAGAGGAAAAGTAATCAGTCTTTGCCCATTAAGTACCTTGTTAGCTGCAAGGTTTTTTTGTAGATGCTATTTTTCAAGCTGAGGAAGTTCCCTTCTATCTCAGTTTTCTGACAGTTTTATTAAAATCAGGGACAGGTGTAAGATTTTGTCAAATGAATGAGGTTTTTTGCATTTATTAAGATGATTATATGGTTTTTCTTTTTTATTCTTTTAACAGGATATATTACCTTGATTGATTTGGTGTAAAACCTAGCTTTCCTCCTTGTCATAAACTTCACTTGATCATTGTGTATTTTCCTTTTTATATCTTGTTGGACTCTGTTTGCTAACATTTTATTAAAATTTTTCACATCTATGTTCATGAGGGATATTAGTCTGCAGTCTTATTTTCTTATAATGTCTTCATTATTTTTTGTTTGTTTGTTTGCTGTCAGAATAATCATGGTTTTATAGTACAAATTGGGATGCATTCCCTCCACTTATATTCTCTGGAAGAATTTGTGTGGATGAGCTCATTTGTGTCCTCCCAAAATTTATATGTGAAGCTAACCCCTAGTATCTCGGAAAAAAAAGTGGAAAGTGAAATTCGCTCAGTCTTGTCCAACTCTTTGTGACCCTATGGACTATACAGTCCATGGAGTTCTCCAGGCCAGAATACTGGATTGGGTAGCTTTTCCCTTCTCCTGGGGATCTTCCCAATCCAGGGATTGAACCCAGGTCTCCCACACTGCAGGTGGATTCTTTACCAGCTGAGCCACAAGGGAAGCCCAATATCTCAGAAGATGATTGTATTTGGATAAATAGTTTTTAACTGAGTTTAAATGAGACCATCAGGGGGTCCCAAGTCCAGGGGCCTGGTCTTTATGAGACGAGGGAATTCAGACACAGAAAGAAACAGAAGGGATGTACGTGCACCGAGGAAAGAATCTGTGCGAACACAGCAAGCTGAGGAGAGGGGCCTCAGAATGAAATCAACTCTGCCAACACATTAATCTTGGACTCCAAGCTTCCAGACATGTGAGAAAATGAATTTCTGTTGTTTAAGCAACCCAGTCTGTGGTACTTTGTTATGGCACTCCTTGAAGCCTAATACAGTTGGTATTATTTCTCCTTTAAGTATGTGGTTGTATTCACCTGTGAAGTCATCTAAACTTGAAGTTTATTTATGAAAAGGTTTTAAACTACATGCTCCATCTGTTTCATAGATATAGGGGCTATTTCCAGTTGAATGAGTTTGTGTCTTTCAAGGAAATGGAACTTTCCATGTTAGTTGTGGAATGTACTGCCTTGCATTCATTTTAGCACAGAAAAAACGACATAAACATATACGCTGCCATATAACTGTGAATCTGCCGTATGACACAGGGAGGTCAGACTGGTGCTCTGTGAAACCTAGAGGGGTGAGGTGGGGTGAGAGTTGGGAGAGAGGGTCAAGAGGCAGAGGCCGCGTGTGCATCGATGGTGAGTCACGTCGATGTGCAGCAGAAACCAACACAATATAAAGCAATTATCCTTCAACTAAAAATAAATGCATTTTTAAAAGACAACAAAACCATCAGTTATTCTACTGTCTAAAAGTAACCCTTGCGAATGTTCTGCTGTGTATCTTCCCAGATGATTTTTATACAGGTGCCCACCAACTCTCCTCAACAACACCCCACCCTTTTTTTTTTTTAACAAAATTGTTATCACCCATAATATCCAGGGTTTCTGTAATCATCAAGTCTTTGAAAACATATTTATGGATGGATGGTTAAAAATTTGCTTAACTAAGTCCTTAATTTGAGATGCTTCTGATTTGGGGGGGGAGGGTAACATTGTAAAGAATACCACAGTCAATATTCTTTTTCATCTGCCTCTAGGAACTACTCAGGTTTGTATCTTGGTTTATAGTTCCAGAAGTGGAATTACTGGGTCGACAAGTTTATTCTTGAGTTTTCTGATTGAGCGCCCTGGCTGGGAGAGGAGAGAGGGAGGAAGTGCCCATCCTCCCCTCGAGGGACCAGCCCAACCGGTGGCAGCCCGTGGGAGTGTGGGATGAGAAAATGGCCCAGGACTATGCAAAGACTCCCAGGGCACCCCCGCCTGCCCTCCGCCCCAGCCATGACCTCCTTCGCATGGATCTAAGTGGCTCCCGGTTGCCTGTGTGTGGGCAGCTGTGTCATCAGTATGGACTGGGCCTTACTTCTTGGTTCTTCCTCCTTTGGAGTTGAGTGATATCATTAAGAAGCATCTGCAAAAATCGAAGCAAGAACTGAAGCCAAGCTCCGCACAGGCAAGTGAAGGCAGAGACCAGCTTCGCCCTCCCATCGTCACACTCCGATCACAGGGAGCTCCCGTCTGACAGGGCGGATGCAAGCCCTGTCCTTGGCCTTTACTGGAGAAATGACAGCCCTCTGCTCCCCAGGATCCCTGGCCTGAGTGCAGTCAAAGACCCACAGACCAAAACATGTACAGGTGCCCACAAAAGACTGTATCAGCGGGTACCAGTCACCGGCATCCATGAAGAGATGGGTGATTAGATGCAGTGGGACTTTTCTAGGATAACTTCCTGGGAAAGAGAAGGGTCTAGACTCATAGACAGGAAGCTGGGCAGGGGAAAAGGAGGGGTTTGGGAAGTGGGAAATGGGACCAGCCAGCCCAGTTGGTCTGGTAGAGCTAGAAGTACAAGGCGGAAAAGCCGGGGAGGGAAGATGGGGAGGGAAGTCCTGGGTGGGGAGGGGCTCACTCCTGTTCCTCGCCAGCAAGTCTGGGGACATCAGTAGGATCAGATGATGAGAAGGTGGGGGCGCAGCTTGGAGATTTCATTTCTGGTCGAACTCTCCTGGCCTCCCTCCCTGTTCCCCCTCCCACCACCTTAATCCATCTCAAGGCTGGAGAACAGATCTTGGCTCGGTAACACACAGGTTACAAGCTTGAGCACCTGCCTTAAGCCTCACGGTGCGCAACACCTGTGGTCTGTTATCATCTGTGAGCAGGACCCTTACTCAGCGACGCCTGGTTATACTCACCCTGCAGCTGAGGACACAGAGGCCCAAGGACCGGAGCTAGCTTGTCAGGATGGCAGAGTCAAGAAGTCGGGGTGCTGGGGTCAGAGCATCTTATCCGTGTAACCGTCCACACTGGGGTCTCCCAGGGCTCCAGCCCCCTCTGCTCCTCCCTGCTCCATCTTTCCCTGACTTGTGCCGCCCACCCCCCCACCCCCACAAGAGGCAAGTGGCACTGAGTCCCAGGCCAACAAGATCTCAGCCAGAGGTGACCGGGTTCCCCAGGGCACATTTGGTGGTGTGTGGAGACATTTCTGCTTCTCAGAAGCAGGGGGCGGTGGGGGGAGCAGGGCGGAGCGTGTGTGCTGAGTCCCTTCCGCTGTGTCTGACTCTGCAGCCCTATGGACCACAGTGCCCCCTGGGAAGCCAGGGTGGAGCCCAGGAAGGCGGCAGCCACTGGGTCTGGTGACGGAGGTAAGGGGTGCTGCCCAAGCCCGCAGGATGCCTAGGATGGCCCACCAGATGGATGGGCCACACGGCAGTGGTGAGGGGTGCAGAGTCGCCCTGCCCCAGATGCGCAGGCTCGCCCTTCCACGTCTGCACTGGAGGCTTCTTGTTGTCTGCCTGCACGCGTGGCCTGCTCCAGGCTCAGCCAGAGGTGGGCACCCGCAGCTTGCAGATGTAGGTGGAGGGTTCTCTGCAGATTCCAGACTAAAGCGCTTCCAGACCTGAAGGGAGGTCCTACAGGCACACGCGTGTCCACACGGAGGCCCTCCCTGACAGAGCTGCTCCGTGACCCAACCCTGTTCCAGCTCCGTGAACTCTTTTTCTCCTCTTAAGCCCCAACTTCTGGGCTTCCGTATTCGTTTTGGCATTGCTTAGTCAGGAGAGCCCAGGAGGCCTAGGTAAAGAATCGGCCTGCCAGTGCAGGAGTCATGAGAGACACAGGTTCGATCCCTGGGTTGGGAAGATGCCCTGGAGGAGGGCATGGCAGCCCACTCCAGTACTCTTGCCTGGAGAATCCCATGGACAGAGGAGCCTGGCGGGCTGCAGTCCGTGGGGTTGCAGAGTCGGACACGGCTGACCAGACTGAGCATGCACACGCTGCTGAGTCAGTTCGGCCAGGATCCCTCATCCTGAGGTCTGATGGGGCTCCTCACCCCCGTCGCTAGGTGACGCCAGCCTCCCTGCCTTCAGCCAGATCCTTCCAGCGGGTTAAGCTAGAATCTCTGCTACTCCTGATGTTTCTTCTTAGTAATTTCCCATCCGCTGACCTCCACCTCGGCTACAAATTCCCACTTTCTAGGTTGTTCTATTTGGGGTTGAATCTGATCTGTCTCCTCCACGGCAAGACTCCATCAGAGCGGTTTCCAGCCTTCTCTCTCTTGGTTGTCGTGGACTTGGGGCGTTGCCGGGGAAGCCTCAGCACGTTGGCCCAGAAGCCTGCTCATCAGTCCCCGGGATGCAAGGCTCTCACAGGTTCCTTTGATGGAAAGAAGTTCGATGGCAACTTCTTCCCGGCAAGGCTCACAACCTTCAGCTTCTCTCTACGAGGGCCCTTGGGAGTCAGCGGTGCCTCCACCCCGTCCAACGACCGCCTTGAATAAATGGTCTGCCTGGCTGTGCTTTAACAAGTATTACTGAATGCTTTTCTTTAACTTGTCCTCATCCCTTTCTGGTGAGAAAGGAGAGAACGTGGGCTCGTTTCCCTTCAGATGCCTGGGGAAGGGCCAAGTCCTTGTCCAGTACATCCCGAAGGCCCGAGCACCCTGGGGTGGGATGTGACCGGGCAGCTGTGGGCGGGGCGGGGGCGGAGGGAGGAGGCGGGGCCTCCTTTTTCTAGGCCATGTGCCACCTGCTTCCTGCCCAGGGGCATTGCCCCGGCACTCCCTTGCCAGTGCGCGGCAGCAAGACGCTGGGGCCTGCTCCCCGCAGCCTTTGGAGCAGATTGTGGACCTTGCGAGCCCTATGTCGCTGGCCCCCCAGGACCCAGAAGATGCCAGATGGGGCTCCGGCCAACCCCAAAGGGTACAGGAAGAAGGGGCTGGTTAGACACCCCCCTGGGAGGAGGGGCCCAAGGCTCAGGACCTCTTCAAGAACCTCCAGGTAGGTGCCTGCCTCCCTGGGATGGAGCCCTTGGTGGAGACGAGCAGGGAGGTGGGTGGAGAGCTGGCTCCTAGAACCCACTTCTTCAGAAAGTCTGAGCCTCTGATGACGGCTGAGATATTGCATTTTCTGCACTACCAGAGCCCTTGGGATCCATCAATCCTCATAGGCACTTGAGGCCCAGAGAGGGTAAGGGATCTATTGATGGTCACACAACATTTTGGAAGTAGAGTTGCAGCTAGAACCCAGGGACTTGGGTCCCTTGGCTCCAGGTACAAAAGCCAGCCACCAGGAGGGGTCACGTGACTGGCGTGCGAATGAAAGGGGCTGGTTCTGATGTGTGACCAGATCCAACCCCACGAGACAGGGAGCTCTCCTGTCGTGGAAGCCTGGTTCGGGGTGGAAGGGAAGGAGGCTTCTTGTGCCTCCCGGCTCTGCATTGCTGTTCGTCCCAGAGGGGCAGGCAGGCGGGAGGTGCGGGAACCCGGGCATCGAGGGGTGGTGTTGACTGAGGATGTAACAAGGTCCAGGAGGGAGCCACCGGCCAGGAACCACATGCGGCGGGAGGGACAGACTGAGGACTGGGCTCTCTCCCCCTCTCAGATCTCGCCTGGGGATGAAGAGTTTCATCATCATCACCGTCCTGGCCGGCAGCGGTGAGTGAAGGTGCTGGGAAACCCCTCCTTCTGACCCCGACTCCAGCCTTTCTCCTGTGACTCAGCCACTGGCCACAGGCTCTCAGACCCGCCGCTGGGTCTCTGCTCCCTGGCTGTGCCGGGCTTCGTTCTCACTGTGGGGCTGTTTACTCCTCCAGCCACCTGTAAACACACCCAAGGCGGTCGGCATTAACTATTTACGAGCCTCCAGGGCGCAGGGTGCACAGTTGAGCAAGCATTGTAAAGTGCCGGTGGTGGCTGGGCGTCAGGACACTTGGCAACACTGGGGCGCTTGTGTACACAGGAAAACACGTTTGTGTACACACGCATGTATGTGCAGACAGGAACTAGTGAGCTTGCATGCAGGTATCCGCAGGTCTACGTGTAGGGGGTGTGTCTGGGCACATGGTGATGTCTGTGTTGCGTAACACACGTCTGGAAGATGGGTAAGCACGTGTTCACGGCAGCATGTGCATCTCTGGAGTGTGTAGGTGCATGCAGGGCGCACACATCTGCACATGCGTGTGTGGAGCAGTATGTGGGTGTGAGACGTACCGGAAGACGATGGAGGGGGTCCGGGGGCCTCTTCCTTCTTCTTTCTGGAGGGACACCCCCCACCCCCGCCCTGGACCACCGAGGCTGCTGACTCACGGGCAGGCGTCCTGGTGGCAGGTGCCTGTGTGGGCAGAAGGGAGAGTGAGTATTCCACTGGCTGGCCGTCCAGCTGGTCAGCACCCCCGGAACCCAGCCAGGTTTGAGACAAAGAAAGACAACACCAGAACCAAAATGAAGTTAAGTGCGGCCAGACATGAGAAATGGTTGGTTGAATTCAGGCACAGTGGCCTGTTATTTAGAAAATAACCCCTTGAGTCCAGCGCAGCCGAGGGGCCGGGCACAGAGGCTACAGGCTGAGTGAACACAGGTTTTATTTCTCCTGCTCTGAGTGGAGTGCAGACGTGGCCGCTCCGGGTGTTGCATGTGTGCGTGAGTGGGAGTGTGTATGCGTGTGTATAGGTGTGGGAGGCGAGTGTGGGTCTGTTTGTGAGACCATGTGCGGGTGGGAGGTATTTGTGGGTGAGTGTGCGTGTAACTGTGTGATATATGGAGGAGAGTGTGCGGCGGGTGAGTGTGTGTTTACATCTGCCTGCGTGTGAGGGTATGACGTGTGTCTGTCCTGCATGTGGATGAGTGAGTTTTCGATGAGAACTGATGGTTGAGGGGTCCCGGGTATGGAAGCTGCCCCCCACCAGGGCTAACACCTACAGGATTAGAGGCAGGAGGCCAGGACCTCACAGTGGGCAATGGGTCCCGGGCCCTGGAGGGGAGAGTCTGTCTTACTTATGAACCCTGCCCCTGGCCCCGCAGCACTAATGGAAAAGCCTGCTTACAGATGGGGGTCTGTCTGACCCCCAGGCTTCTGGGCACACATTTGATTCTGGTGACAAGAACCCTGAAGAACAGAAAGGACTGGGGGAAGCTGATGTTCCTGGGGACCCTTCTAACCCCCCCTCTCTTCCATCATGGCCAAATCAGAGCCAGGCCCCCAGGTCGCAGGGACCCCTTCCTCCCTGCCCCAGGCCCAAATAGTCATTTACAGGCTCTAAACCACCCTCTTAAGGTCGTCGGCCATTTCTCCCCACACCTTTGTTTCCTCTTTCATTTGCTATTTATTCTCTGCAATGACAAAAATCCCAAAGATAGACTGGGAGAGGCAGATGGAGCAGGATTCCCTAAATCAGCTCTCTGAGACGTCGTGGGAAGAGCAGGGGTCTGATGCAAGCTGGGTGCTTGCACTTCCCTGGAGGCTGGAGTTGTTATTCCCATCTTACAGATGGGAAGACCGAGGCCTAGGGAACCTTAGTTCTGGGCCTGCATCTGTCTGACTCCAAAGTCTGTGCCCTTCTCACCAAGACAGTTCGAGGTGGTGGGTTCCCCCATCATCACTAGCAATGTTGGACAGCCAAGTCTCCAGAAGCAAGTCATTTCAGCCTTTGGGATTCCATCTGGGCTCTGTTTCTGAAATTCTTGGCTTCCTCCCTCTCCCAGTGCATTTCCTCCATCAGGCCAGGGGGCAGGGTGGGAAGAATGACTTGAAAGCAGGGGGAAAGGTGCTGAACTAGGCGCCTTGCCCTGGGCACAGGTGGAGGAGCCTCCCAGGGGAGCAGCAGGGGTGAGGGGTGGTGAGCTGGCATCCCAGCTTCCGGGGGTCACGGACCTGGGCTCAGGTCTGGGCTCCACCACGTATGTCCAGGCTGCTTGGGGCAAATCACCTCTCTGAGCCTCAGCTGCTCATCCATAAAATGGGGTAAGACCGGCCCTCCTGCCTGTGTGCGTTGGGAGGGTGTGGACGGCTTCACCCAGGTAAGAACCCAAACACCAGGCTCGACGTTGACTTGTCCATGAGCCACCACACCCGGGAGCCCGGGAGGCAGGGAAACAGGAGGGCAGCAGACGGCCCTGGGGCGAGCAGCCTGAAGATCGCCGGGAAGCCGACTCCATGATTCTGCTGGTATCGGAAGGGTTGTCGCACTACCTGTGAGACAAGGACAAAGGGGAAGAAATGTATACATGGGCGTGTGTGTGTGTGTGTATGCATGTGTGAGTGTGTTCACTGCATGTCCAGAACACCCAACTGTCTCTGGATTAACCCTGAGATGCTCTGGCCCCAGGCCCTGCTGGGAGCCCAGGAGCCAGGCCAAACCAGCAGGGCCCAGAACCGTGTTCAGGAGAGCACGTGGCATTTGGGAAGCCCCTGGTGTGTCAGGCACTGGGCTCTCCCTGTCTGGGTCCAAATTCTGCCTCCACTGATTTTCAACAATGTCTCCTTGGGCCAGTTGCTAAATGCTCTGGGCCTCGATCACCTCATCTGTAAAATGGTTTTTTTTTTTTAAACAGGACTGCAGTGAGCCCTTGATGGATTCAGGCATGGAAGGGCATTGGGCAGGGCCCACTATCACTTTATTCTGGGGGCTGTGGGGCTCAGTGTGAGGACGTGGGCAGTGCACCACATGGGGCGCCCTGTGGAGTGCTCCCTCCTTCTCCTCTGCCCTCCTCCCCTGCCCCCTGTTTCCTGTCCCCTGGCCCCAGCCCTGGGGATTTGGGAGGACAGCCAGGCAGGCAGGAGCGGCCACGAACGGGGCCGGGAGCTCACCATACCCCTCGGTTCTGTCTCCCAGTCCTGCCTGCGGCGCACAGCAGCCTGCTCAACCTCAAGTCCATGGTGGAAACGGTCACTGGGAGGAACGCCATCTTGTCCTTCGTGGGTTACGGCTGCTACTGCGGGCTGGGGGGCCGCGGCCTGCCCATGGATGAGGTGGACTGGTAGGTCCCGAGAGGCAGGGTTACTCTCAGAACTGGGCGGAGACAGCCCAGGTCAGACCAGCCAATCTCCAAGTGGTGGGAGAAGGCCCTTCTCCCAAGGAGGCTTCTTCAATGAGTTTGTAACCAGAAGCCTGACATTTGACCTATGTTCTCCTCAACCGTCTGGGACGCTTCCTATTGTCCATTTCCAAGGTCCTGGGCTTGGAGGCATCAAGTTCAGTTCAGTTCAGTTGCTCAGTCATGTCTGACTCTTTGCAACCCCTTGAACCGCAGCACGCCAGGCCTCCCTGTCCATCATCAATTCCCAGAGTTAACCCAAACTCATGTCCATTGAGTTGGTGATGCCATCCAACCATCTCATCCTCTGTCGTCCCCTGCCTTCAATCTTTCCCAGCATTAGGGTCTAGAATTTCCATTCTCAGTGGAACCTTTGACCTGTCCCCAAACACACATGGGTTTCCCTGGTGGCTCAGAGGGTAAAGTGTCTGCCTGCAATGCGGGAGACCTGGGTTTGATTCCTGGGTGGGGAAGATCCCCTGGAGAAGGAAATGGCAACCCACTCCAGTACTCTTGCTGGAAAATTCCATGGACAGAGGAGCCTGGTGGGCTGCAAAGAGTCGGACACGACTGAGTGATTTCACTTTCACTTTTCTTTTCACGTTCTTTCAAACTCACATAAGATCAGTAATCACAAAGCTGGACAAAGCAAGGGCTGAGACCTCTGCCTCCTCAGACAGGAGGCTCTGTAGGGCAGGACCATGCCTCCCCCATCAGACTGGCAGTTCCTGGAAGCCCTGGCTTGTCCTCTGCTCCTTTCCCTCACCCAAAGCAGCCAGCACCGAGTCTGGTATCCCTGGGGGCTTCATAAATGCATATTGGCTAATATTGCATATTGACGAATGCATATTGCCTGCCTTTCACCAGAGGGGATGGGACAGCCACATCAGCAGTGGCTCCCTGTCCCCCACCCCCAAGCCCCTCTTACTCCTCCAGACGTTGGTCCCTCCCTGGCCATCTTGCACAGCCAGGAGTAGCCCCTTCGTTTAGCCAGTCTCCTCCGCCGTGGGCTTCACCCAGGCCCCTCCCTCCCACCCTGACCCCTCCAACAGCTGCAGCCAGGCCTCCGGGTAGGGAGGGCTGGAGCTCTGGGGAGAGGACAGAGAGAGGGGGTCGTGGACAAGATTCCGGAGCGCTGGCCTGACTCCTTCTGGCTGTGTAACTTCAGGCAAGTAACTGCCCTCTCTGGGCCGTGGTCTGAAGGTCTTACTCGTGAGGGATGGGAACAGTTGATCAGGTCAGGGCTCACTGCCGGCGGGAGAGGGGCCAAGCCTGGCCACATCTGCCTACTCTCCCCTCCCTGCCCCAGGTGCTGCCATGCCCACGACTGCTGCTACCAGAAGCTCTTTGACCTGGGCTGCCACACCTACGTGGACCACTATGACTACACCATCGAGAACAACACTAACATTGTCTGCAGTGAGTGTCCCCACCATCACCCCCTTCCCCCAGGAAAAGCATGAACTGCCAGCCACCACCCTAGCCTGTGCTGGGGGCTGTGGGCAGGGCTGCCAGATGAAATACAGGATGTCCCAGTAATTCTGAATTTCAGATAAACAGTGAAAAGTGTTTTCATGTAAGTTTACACCAACTCGATGGACATGAGTTTGAGCAAAATGCAGGAGGTGGTGAAGGACAGGAAGCCTGGTGCGCTGCAGCGTCACAAAGAGTCAGACACAACTGAGCGACTGAACAACAACAAATATCCCAAATATTGTGTGTGTGTGCGTGTGTGCATGCGTGTGCACACGTGTGTGCATTCGTGCGTGTGTGTGCACATGTGCATGTGTGTGTGCACGCTAAGTTGCTTCAGCAGTGTCCAACTTTATTTGACTTGATGGACTATAGCCTGCCAGAGTCCTCTGTCCATGGGACTCTCCAGGCAAGAATACTGGAGTGGGTTACCATGCCCTCCTCCAGGGGATCTTCCCAACCCAGGGATCAAACCCGACTCTCTCATTTCTCATGCATTGGCAGGTGGGTTTTTTGCTACTAGCATTGCCTGGGAAGCCCAAATATTGCATGGGACATACTTATACTAAATCTTAGCAGAACATTAATTAGTATCAGTATAAAATAAAGAATTAGTGTAAGTATACCCCACACAATATTTGGGATACACTTATACTAAAACTTCCCTGGTAGCTCAGACGGTAAAGCGTCTGTCTGCAATGCGGGAGACCTGGGTTTGATCCCTGGATTGGGAAGATCCCCTGGAGAAGGAAATGGCTACCCACTCCAGCACTCTTGCCTGGAAAAATACCATGGATGGAGGAGCCTGGTAGGCTATAGTCCATGGGATCGCAAAGAGTCGGACACGACTGAGTAACTTCACTGGTGGTGGTATACTAAAACTGTTTATTGTCTGAAATTCAGATTTCACCAGGCACCTTGCTTTTGTTTGCTTGCTTGCTGAATCTAATAGGCTCTGGCATATAGCCCTGAAGCGATCTGAGGCCCCCATCTGAATACACACCCTGATTCTTCAGTCCCCACTTCAGCTTTGGAGAACTTAGACAGCGACTTTGATTCAGTGGGCTGAGTTTGGAGCGGGCCCAGTTCTCTCTGTTTTTAACCAGATCCTCGGGTGATTCTGAGACTCTGTAGCAGGCTGTCCTGGGAGTCTGGAGTCCTGTGTTGACACCCAGGTTCGGCCAGCAACTCCTCCCCGTGTGGCCCTGGGCAGGGTCTGTCCCCACCTGGCTTCAGTCTCCCCATGGGTACATTGAGGACTTTGGATGTGAGCAGACCCCCTCCCTTCTAGTTCTCTCACTGGGACCCCAGTAAATGAGGTGGCCCCGTGCTAGGACACCCAGTGTTTCTAGGGATTTGAGATGCTGGAGGCATCTGAGGCCTGGCAGGTTCCCTCACTTTACCATGGACTCTCCATGGTCATTCCCTCCCCGAGGGGCGCAGCATCCAAGCTGACAGCCCAGGCATCCCCACTTGTGGCAGCTCCCCTTCGTGGTCCTGCCAGGGTCAGCAGGCATCCCCTGGGCAGCCCAGGCTCCCTCTGTGCCCTTACATTAACCAGGCTGTGTGTCACGCCTCACTAAGAGCTCACGAGCAACGTCAGTTTTGAAAAAAAAAAAAACAAAAAACAAACTCAAGACTCCTGTTCTCTGGGAAAGAGTCTGGTGGGGACCCAAGCACTTCTGGGGCCCCTTGGCAGCCCGGGGCTGAGAGTTCCTCAGATGCTGCTGTTCAGATGAAGAGTGCAGCTGCTGCTTGATAGAGGAGTCCATTAAGCAGATCAGATCTCCCTCCTCAACCCCTAAGACTGTGCACCAACCTGAGCTGTGGTTTTCACACTGGGTTCTGGAGATTTCTGGGACCAGCAGGTCAGCTGCTGTGAGCGGTGATGGGGGGTACCTCTGAGTGGTCCAGCTGGCTCTTTGCTGTATTTTATAGCTCAGATGGCTTCTCTTTCAGCCACTTGAGATATTCATCTTTGATAAAGTGTTTCACATCAGAGAAAGGATTCTGCTGATGGAAAGTTTGCAAGTTTGCAAACCACTGGGCTAGTGGGTGGTTCTTGAAGAGGGTTCCCTGAACCTGCAGCATCAGCATCACTTGTTAGAAATGCAGTTATCAGGTTCCGCAGACTCACTGAATCTGAATTGCCAGGAGTGGGGTGGGGCAGCCTTTGTTTTTAGAGCACTCCAAACAGATTTCATTTTCCTGGGCTCCAAAATCACTGCAGATGGTGACTGCAGCCATGAAATGAAAAGACACTTGCTCTTTGGAAGGAAAGCTATGATAAACCTAGACAGCATATTAAAAAGCAGAGACATCACTTTGTTGACAAAAGGTCCATATAGTCAAAGCTATGGTGTTTCCAGTAGTCATGTATGGACGTGAGAGTTGGACGATAAAGAAGGCTGAGTGCCGAAGAATGGATGTTCTCGAATTGTGGTGCTGGAGAAGACTCTTGAGAGTCCCTTGGACTGCAGGGAGATCCGACCAGTCCATCCTAAAGAAAATCAGTCCTGAATATTCATTGGAAGGACTGATGCTGTGACTGAAGCTCCAATACTTTGGCTACCTGATGTGAAGAGCTAACTCATTAGAAAAACCCTGATGCTGGGAAAGATTAAGGGCAAGAGGAGAAGAAGGCGACAGAGGATGAGATGGCTGACTGGCATCACCAACTCAACAGACATGAATTTGAGCAAGCTCCTGGAGATAGTGAAGGACAAGGAAGCCTGGCGTGCTGCCGTCTGTGGGGTCACAAAGAGTCAGACACAACTTAGTGGCGGATCAGTGACAAGCAGTCTATCCTAAAGCTCGCCTGAGCTGAGAACTCAAGGGTAGATGATTTCTGAAGGCCAATAATAACAACGTTTGCTCCATGGGAGGCACTGGGCTAAGCTCTGCACAAGTGTTTTGCTCCCTCCATCCTTGCCACAGCGCCCTCCAGAGTGGGGGTGCTGGGATTCTGGGCTTGAAGAGGGAGCCTGTGATGGTAGAAAGTGGAGAGGGGGTGGGGTGGAGATGGGGGGGGGGGGGGCGGTTAGTTCCTGACACTTGAGTTTCTACCCCAGCTCAGCCCCGGGTTTGCTGGGTGACTTAGGCAAACCACACCCCATCCTGAGCCTCAGTTTCCCCAACTCAACACTGTCCAGTTGGGCTTCCATGGTTCTCTGTTTCCCACTCGTCAGGGGCACCTGGAGGGCTGGGGATGCAAGAGGCTGGGCCCCGGCCCTGACCTCCTGCACCTGCAGGCCCAGGGTGGGCCCCCCGGACTATGGTGCGGCCAGCCCGGGACCACTTTCGGGGGCCCCCTGTGACCTCGGGGTCCGCACGCTCCACTCTCCACAGGCGAGCTCAACCAGACGGAGTGTGACAAGCAGACGTGTGAGTGTGACAGGAGCGTGGCTCTGTGCTTCCGGAAGCAGATATACAGGGAGGAGCACCGCAACTATCTCAACATCTACTGTCAGGGCCCCACGCCCAGCTGCAGCGTCTACGAGCCGCCCCCCGCGCCTCCCTAGGTCCCCCGGGGGCTGGCGGGGGGCCGGGAGGGGGCTCTGGCTCTAGGGGCCAGGTGGATGGAGCAGGCAGACGTGGGGGTGGATCGGGAGCCCCCGGCTGCGTCTGGCCGCCTCATGCCAGGAGCCCTCCAGCGAGACTGGCCCCAGAAGAATAGGAAAGGTCTGGGTCCTGGCCCTGGCCACCAGGCTCCTCCAGCCCAGCCCTGGGTGTGGCTTCGTCCTGGACGTGGCAGGGGGCACATGCCTTGTTGGGGTCTCTCCCAAGCGTGGAAGAGATTGGGGGCCTCCGAGAGGGGCCTCTCGCTGACTGAGCCAGGCATGAAAGGGTGGATCCCAGGGTCTTCAAGACCTAGGCCTGCGGCAGCCAGCACAGGCCCAGAGCTCGCTGTGTCCTAGGAGCAGGCTCCCAGGCAGACAGAGTGCTGGTCACAGGTCTGGGTTCTGGGGGCCCCTTGGCTGCTCCCGCAGGACTAGTCAGGGTGATCCATGCTTTGGGGGCCTCCAGAGCCCCGTTAGAGAGCATCCTGGCCTCCATCGAGTTGGCACACGTTTCCCGACCCAGATCGAAATGGTCAGAGGGCTTGTGTCCCAGCCCCAAAATCCAGCCTCAGTGACCCAAAGAGCCTCCGAGCAGATTCCTGGGCCCTGACAGAACCCACATGCACCCCGCCCCGCCCCAGCTCCACAGGGACCCAGATGGGGGCACACACAAATGTGCTCCCCTGGGCATGCCATCCTGCCTCTCCCGCCGACCCGCTCAGGTCAGAGGAGCAGCCTGGCCACAGCCCCGCAGCCCTGACCAGCTCTGAGGAGGCCCCGACCCCAGCGCCCCAGGTCCCTGACAACACACAGGCCAGGGGGTCCCGGCCCAGACGGCCAGGTGTCCCCCACGCCTGCCCCCACGCAGGAGCCAGGCTGGGGGTGGAATGCACCAGAAGCCTCTCTCCCTGGACAAGGAGGGACAAGGCCACAGCCTCAACTCCGAATCCCCCTGGTGCAGAGGGCGCGGAGAGCCAGAACCCAGCTCAGGGAAGAGGACACGGAGGCAGGAGGGACCAGGGCCAGGCAGAAGGCCGTGGGGAAGATTCAAGAAGGGGTAGACAGGGAGCAGGATGAGGACAGGGAAGGGAGGGGGGAGCGGGGAGACACGGCGGGGACCAGACTCCAGACCAGAGCGGTCTTGGCAGGAGAAGAGGGTGGAGGAGCCTTGGGGATGGGAGACCCCCTCGGGCCCAGGTTCCCGCTGGGGCCCAGGAGACCGCGGGCCGGGGGGAGGAGGGTCAAGCCTGGCAGGCCGCCCCCTGACGCTGCTCCAGCCCTCCTGTCTCCCTAGGTATGCCTTCCTTGCCTGCCCTGCTGACCTCAGGTGTCAGCGGCCTCCGGGCGCCCAGGGTGCCCCACCACATCCCGCCTCCTGTCTTTGTCTGGCGTCAACCCCGAGGGGCCCAATGGTGCAGCGCTGTGACCCCAGGGATTCTCAGAACATCCACCAGGAATCTCGGCCCTCCCCAGGGCGCCCCGAGGACTTACAGTCCCCAGGGGAGGGCTGTGGGAGTGGCGAGAATGTCTACAAAAAACGACAGGACTGGACAGAGCCCCAATGAGCCGCAGCTTCTAGGACATCTGCCCCGGGGGCTGGGGTCAGCACTCACTTAGTGTGGGACCACCGCTCACCCCCTGCTGTCCTGCTGGCCACACAGGGTGACGGCTGTGGTCCCGCGCCTGCCCTGACCCCACCTGCGCAGTCGCCAAGGTCCTCCCAGGAGCCCACCTTCTCCTCCTCGTTCTGGGCTGACCCCCGACTTCTCTGAGCTGAATCTCTGCCCCTGCCACCCCCCCCCCAACACCAGGCAGGGATGGAGTCAGGATGGGGAGCACCCCCCAGAGGTGGGGACCGCAGAGGCCTGGGCCCCTTGCCCATGGGAGCCCTGACTGTGCCCCTCCACACACAAACACACCCTCACCCTCCTGAAAGTCCAGGTGTTGGGAGGCGATTCTGCTGCTAAGGGGTTCTGCCTGCCCCCCAACCTCACCCCAGGCTCTCCCAGGTGCTGCGATCCCGAGACTGTTCACAGGACTCGACATCCCCTCCTCAAACTAATAAAGGCCTCCTTCCTCAACTCCTTGCTGCTGGATCCTCCCTGGCAGGGCACCCACTGGCCAGGCATCGGGGGAAAGCACAGCGGCTCCCTGCCAGGTCTCCAGCTCTGGGGAAAATGGGCTCCCTGGTGCCCAGCGGTGGGCATGTCCTGCCCCCTTCCTGCCCCTGGCCTGACAGAAGCAGCCACCCTCCAGCACAGGCGCAAGTGTCGGGAGGGTTGGAAAGTAGAGCTGTGGTCCAGTGATCAGACAGCGCGAGCAGCCAGTGGGCTGAGAGCTTGCCCGGCGTCCACTCCATGATGCTCTCCGTCCATCCCATCTTTTTTTCTGTTGGAGAACCGATGCCCAGAGAGGGCGGGTAACTTGCCCAAAGTCACCCAGGCCGTTAGTGATGGTGCTGGGTTCTGAATCCTCAGCCTCTGACTTTTCACGTCACCTCCTTGCCCCTTCTTAACAAGGACTCGGGCCGCTGGGGCCAGTGGGACAAGTGACTTAAAGTCCAGCAGGGTGCCAGCTCCAGGGTCCTGGCTTGACCCCTTACCTGTGAGGGGCATCAGTTTCCCCAAGTGCTGAGAGACCAGAGCAGCTGTTTCAGAGGCTCCCCAAAGCTGCGGATTTTCCTGGGACACCCAGGGGTGACCTCTGGGGAAGGGGAGGCTGAGCAGGCAGGAGCTGGAGGCCTCCTACTCATCCTTCCATGAGCAGCCCTGCTTTTCCTGCGGTACCTACTGCCCCTTCACAGGAGCTACTGCAAGGAGAAAAGGGACTCTTTGGCCAAAAGGTTGAAAAGCCTTGGACGTGGTCATCCACTGATTGGTTCATTCATTCAATGAACCTGTCCTGGGGGTCTCCTATGGACCAGACTGGGCTTCACAGCAGACACCGCTGATCAGACACAGCTCTTTCCCACAGGAAGCCCACAGCCTGGGGCGGGAGGCAGACACGTGGACCGACAGCCTTGACGTATGGGGCCAGGTGGGGTCAGGATGGAGCCCGAGCAGGTCTGTGTCAGTCCCGGAAGTGGCCCCCGAGTGGGTGGGGTGGAGCTGCAACGGTGTATTAGATGTCTCTGGAGGTGGCGAGGGAGAACGGGGCCATGGTTTTTGAGGAATGACTGTGCTTAACCCAGTCTGGGTGGTCTTTCTCTCCTCAAGTTAGTGAGGTCTTTTATGCTCAGGCTTGAGGAGGGCACTGGACCTCCTTCCGCTGGTCTGAGGACGGCCACCGACGAAGATGCTCTCCTTGACCACAGTTTGGGCAGGCTCTTGTGAGTTCTTTTCCCAACTAGGCCTCCACATGTGGGTTTCCATCGCCCCATTTTAGTAAGAATCCTGCTACATCAGTTCATTGAGCACCTCCACCCACCCTCAGTATCTGATCAGATTTCTGCTCCTCCACCCCTCCCCCCACCAGTGATATCAGATCACCCCCACCCTCCTCCTCCAAGAATCCTGTTTGGTCAGTTCAGCAGGAATTCCCTACCCTCTCAGCAATTTTCCATCCCCACCTCCAACTCCTGCTATAAATCCCCACTTAAGAAAACTCAGGATTTCAGGGTGCTGAAGAGCAGAAACCGACACAACGCTGTAAACCATCTATACTCCAGTGAAAAAACAGAAAACCGAGGACCTGAAAACGTATTTGGAATTGAGCCCAAATCTATACTGGCCTCTGTTGCAAGAGTTTTTGAATAAAAATCTGTTTTGGCCACTTTACTGTCCATCTCTGGTTTGCTAGGAGCTGTGACTCAGATGGAGGAGTCAGATTCACCACTGGACCCTGGGATCTCTGCCAACTAAAAATTGTCACTTGCCAGGTACTTCCATAAGAAGGAAGTCACTAGACACTGCAGCTGCTGACTTTCAACACTCCCTAAAAGGAGTTCAGGGTAGAAATGAGCCTCAGGAATGAGGCTCTCTGTGCTCTGGGGAAAAGTGGCAGAACAGGTCTTCAGTTAGATATTTTCAGGAGAAGATTTTATGAGCCCAATTTCTAGCATCTTCTCATATCTAGAAAAGCACTAAAATCACTTATGGAGACGTCTGCTCCTCATAACTAAACAGCAACCTTCTTGACTAACAGGAATCTTTTGTCAAAATGTGTGCTTGATGGTGCATAACTTCCTTCACCAAAATCACATATATTCTGACGCCTCCCCCTCTTAAACTCTTTGGAGCATTTCCTCAGCACTATTTCAGAAGCTATAGTTCTCATTTTGCCCTAAATAAAACAACTCACATCTCTCACATTGTGCATTTTGAAAACTTCGCCCCCTCTCACTTTCAGTGGGAAAGCCTAGTACAGCCTCACGGGTTATTACATCATAGTCCTATTCACTGTCTCTGAGCTATCTTTCACTTCTTGGTTAGACGCCATTTGCCTTTATGCTTTGTTATCTGCCTTTAAACCCGCACAGATTCTGCCATCCTGCACATTTGATTAATTCTTCTAGTTTTCTCCAAAAATGTGGCTAAAACTCTCCAAATGAATGTTCCCAATTTTTGTCCCCATCCTTCTTGACTTGGAATCACGGGGAACTAAACCCAACTCTCCAGAAACTTATAGGAACTTTCTAAAGAAGCCCTGTGACCTGAAGCTGGATGCATCCAGGCTCTTCTCCAAGACTCAAACGTGACCGAGACACCGATGTCTGGGCCATCCACAAAGATGCTGCAAACTGCAAACCAGGAAGAAGACGGATTGCCGCCGCTCTCCTCGCTTCCCCATCTACAGATGTTTCAAGTTCAACCTCTCAGTTGGCTGCCCTCTGGACTGAGAAACTAAGTTTAATTGCTCTACTCATTAATCTCTGTTTTTCTTCTCTCTTTTTTTTTTTCATAGAAATCCCCTCGTTTAAATGTTTGATGGTTCACAACCATCCAGAAAATACCCTTTACTGCCAAGTCTCAACAGATGGTTCCACTGGTCACTAATGAACAAAAAATGATCAGTTGAGAAATGAACTGCTGAAAAAAGTTTGCTATGACCAGTGCATTCTCTTGGCAGAACTCTATTAGCCTTTGCCCTGCTTCATTCTGTACTCCAAGGCCAAATTTGCCTGTTACTTCAGGTGTTTCTTGACTTCCTACTTTTACATTCCAGTCCCCTATAATGAAAAGGACATCTTTTTTGGGTGTTATTTCTAGAAGGTCTTGTAGGTCTTCATAGAACTGTTCAAGTTCAGCTTCTTCAGCATTACTGGTTGGGGCACAGACTTGGATTACTGTGATATTGAATGGTTTGCCTTGGAAACGAACCAAGATCATTCTGTCATTTTTGAGATTGCATCCAAGTACTGCATTTCGAACTCTTTTGTTGACTATAATGGCTAATCCATTTCTTCTAAGGGATTCCTGCCCGCAGCAGTAGAGATAAGGGTCATCTGAGTTAAATTCACCCATTCCAGTCCATCTTAGTTCGCTGATTCCTAGAATGTCGATGTTCACTCTTGTCATCTCCTGTTTGACCACTTCCAATTTACCTTGATTCATGGACCTAACATTCCAGGTTCCTATGCAATATTGCTCTTTACAGCGTCGGACCTTGCTTCCATCACCAGTCCCATCCACAACTGGGTGTTGTTTTTGCTTTGGCTCTATCCCTTTATTCTGTCTGGAGTTATTTCTCCACTGATCTCTAGTAGCATATTGGGCACCTACCGACCTGGGGAGTTTATCTTTCAATGTCCTATCTTTTTGCCTTTTCATAATGTTCATGGGCTTCTCAAGGCAAGAATACTGAACTGGTTTGCCACTCCCTTCTCCATTGGACCACATTCTGTCAGACCTCTCCACCATCACCCGTCTGTCTTGGGTGGCCCCACACGGCATGGCTCATAGTTTCATTGAGTTAGACAAGGCGTGGTCTGTGTGATCAGATTGGCTAGTTGTCTGTGATTGTGGTTTCAGTCTGTTTGCCCTCTGATGCCCTCTCTCAGCGCCTACTGTCTTACTTGGGTTTCTCTCATCTTAGACGTGGGGTATCTCTTCACGGCTGCTCCAGCAAAGCGCAGCCGCTGCTCCTGACCTTGGACGTGGGGTAGTTTCTCTCGGCTGCGCTCCTGAGCCAGCACAGCTGCCGCGCAGTGCCAAGAGAAGGCGCTGGTCACAGCAAACACCCTCCTCCAACAACACGAGAGAAGACTCTACACACGGACATCACCAGATGGTCGACACCAAAATCAGACTGATTATATTCTTTGCAGCCAAAGATGAAGAGGCTCTATACAGTCAGCAAAAATAAGACCGGGAGCTGACTGTGGCTCAGATCATGAACTCTTTATTGTCAAATTCAGACTGAAATTGAAGAAAGTGGAGAAAACCACTAGACCATTCAGGTATGATCTAAATCAAATCCCTTATGACTGTACAGTAGGAGTGAGAAATAGATTTAAGGGACTAGATCTGATAGAATGCCTGATGAACTATGGATGGAGGTTCATGACACTGTACAGGATACAGGAATCAAGACCATCCCCAAGAAAAAGAAATGCAAAAAAGCAAAATGGCTGTCTGAGGAGGCCTTACAAATAGCTGGGAAAAAAGGGAAGTAAAAAGAAAAGGAGAAAAGGAAAGATATACCCATTTGAACACAGAGTTCTAAAGAATAACAGGGAGAGGTAAGAAAGACTTCCTCAGCGATCACTGCAAAGAAATAGAGGAAAACAATAGAATGGGAAAGACTAGAGATCTCTTCAAGAAAATCAGAGATACCAAGGGAACATTTCATGCAAAAATGGGCAAAATAAAGGACAGAAATGGTATGGACCTAACAGAAGCAGAAGATATTAAGAAGAGGTGGCAAGAATACACAGAAGAACT